GTGTCATATTGTAGAGTCACTAAGTGTGTATACTTTGTTTTTCGTGTCATTGTGATTGTTTTACTTGTGATGAAAGCGTTCTGAAATACCATATGAAATAAACAGAAGAAATTAGGTACTGTAGAGTCACTCTCTATTCAACGAACAGAAAAGGAGTATATGTTAGTTTTTGTAAAATACTAATTTCTACTTCTTGCACTTTCGATGAACAAACAGAAAAGAAAAGAAATGTTTCAAGCGAAAATCAGATCCATGACAGATTACTGATTATCTGGACCAATGCTCTAACCATTTAACTATCGAAGCACGACGAACGCATACTTTCTTTTCGAATAATATTTAATCATAAGAAGTTAAAGAAAGCAAAAACCAGTATTGTCTAAATATCACATATACTTCTTTCATGTCCTTTGAATAGTCATATTCACGCTCGAAAGTAGAGAAAAATCATCGAAATTTACACTTCATTCAGAAATAGCCTCGTTGCATCCAAGTGTATCGTATACATCGTGCCGACGTGAAAATACCTTCGGTTATTAAATATTATTAAGAAAGAAAATATGCGTCCATCGTGCTTCGATAGTTGAATACTTAGAGCATTGATGCGGATAATCAATAGTCGATCATGAATTCGATTTCTGTTTCAAACATAGATTCTCCTTTCTGTTTGTTCACCGGAAGGCAAAAGAAGTAAAAATTAGTACTGTATAAACATTAAAGCCACCTTCCTTAAAATGCGTCTATAACATACACTGTCTATCCGATTTTTGAATAACCAAGGTAGAAATCAGAGATTGAAACAAATAAGAAAATTTCGATCCGATCGATGAGATTCTTCTGACCTGGATTGAATTATTTGACTATTCGATTCGGTTTCAGTCTCTGATAGAACTACAAACATTCTGTATTGTATTATTCTATCATTTGAAAAGATTTAGTCTCGCTGAAGATTAAGTGTGATGCAGTGTAGAAAACAAGTACTCCAGGATGCTTTTATCGAAGAACTTCTCTTTAAGCAAGTAATATTTGACCAAGCATGTACTTATAATAGTGCCTTCACAGCGGATAGTTTTAATAGTGGAAAAGCTAGTTTTCATAGTGTTCTATTACGTTGCGATCGTGCTTGGAGATGATTTGAGAATGTGGTTAAAAAACGTCGAAATGCCAGTTTTTCAGGAATTGCAAATATTCCTACAATGAGTATTGTTTGAGAGCCGTGTACTCTATTTTCTGTCCGCAGGAACACTTGCAATCAACCAGCATTTTGCTTTTTTATCCGTGGATGGCGCTGGAGCCGTGATAGGAAATTATTTCAGATGATGAGCCGCGAAATACACATGTATATCTTTATGTTACGGTGGGGTTCCAAAACGTCACTGCAAAGAGGATTGTGTACCGAAATTTCTTGGTCACACTGAACAAATGATACTACTCATCATTTCGATTTGTATGCCTTTCAAGGATGCTGTGATTGGACTAGGAAGTAATAAAGGAGTGTGTGCGGTAAAATAGAAGTCTCTCGTATTCAGCAGAGAAACTGTCCCTAAAAGAGCTGCAGTGCTAGGATGTCGCGTAAATTTGCTGTGTCAGCTACGGCTGTCTAGGTTTCTATTTTTGAGAATTCTGTTTTAAAGGAGCCAGAGCGCAAATCGTACTATGTTTTCTAGCAGTTTTGCAGTGCACAGATGTATTTATACATTTGTACGTATTTTTTTATTCGAGACTGTTGTACATTTCCTGTTTCTAGTAAGGGAACGCGAAAATGGCATCCCTAGTCTCACTCCACAACTACATTTGGAGACTCTTCAGATGTAATGTGACAAGTTAAGGGGGAGAAGAATAAGTCCCAAGAATATCATTAATTATCACAGAAGGAAAAAACTCCATTTTCTGGTCAGTTATTTCTAATTTCCATTCAAAAATTGCTTTTTGGAACTCAAGTATATTTTCGAAAAAAATAATGAGTGCAAGTTTTAGGTCAAGATCTTTTGGCTTCGAACCCGCCACTCCATTACAGACTTTAGCAATCGAAGGCAACCTGCACCAGACTGCTTTAACAGAGTTTATTAGCTACGGAAATATGTCCTGAACAGCATTAACGATGACATTTAGACGGTTCTAGAAAATTCTAGAACTTTCCAAAGTTTTCATCGAAATTTGAATGACTGGAGTAGGTTTCTCAATATTTCAAGTAGCGCAGTTTTCTGAGTTTTGCTCAGATGAAAATTTATATTCAAAGTGTCACCAATCATTGATAGCAAAGCATTCATTTGCCGCAAATGTGACATGAACAATATAATAAGCGTGAATTGATCAAGTTGTAACTTTGAAAAATGATCAATATAAGTGTTTGTATGTTGATTGAGATGTATAATAGTGCGTTAAGACCTGCTGTTGTACATAAAATACCGATTTATAACATCCTTATTTGCTATTTAACTTAATGCTTATATTAGCAGCACTGCTAATTTAAGCAAAACTAAATACAAAACGGAAAACGAAACAGAAAATTACAACACAATACAAACGAAAATTAGAGGGTCCATGAAAAACAAAAAATTCTGTTCGAAATGCAAAAACAAATAAGACAGATTCTTACTCTGGTAATCGGCCACCTTTGAAAACAATAATGATCTGCGAGAGACGATTCACTTTACGTATTTTCTATTTGTTTAATCATGCTGCAGAGCATATGTGAGTTTCACATTTCAACCCCAAAGAGACTGCACTAATAAGCTTTTTCGATAGAGATTTTCTCCAAACATATCTAAAAGCTAAGTCACTTGCAGTCTTGAAAAGGTGAAACTAGCAGAATCTCTTTCCTTTCTAAGTTCTATAGGATCTACTAATAGTTAGACAGTCATAATTTCAAGCGTTACATCAATTCATACGTAGAGAAAAATACGACGAAACGAATTGATGAGAAGTTTGATTTCACGAAAAATTCAAAAAACTGTGCTTTTGTGCCTCTAAAGATATATGAGGGATATTAGAAGTATGGCACTATTAGACATAAAAGCAATATCCTAAGTCTCTCTTTAATTGCGCCGATTTATAAGACTACAAGACTTTTCTCAAAAGCCTAGATATCTTTAGATGAAAAGAAATTATTTGAAAGAGAACAAGTGAGTTTGTGATTACATCATCAAAAGGAATTCCAAAGCGACCGAAAAAGCTGGCCACACGATTTTCATACAGTCTTTAACCTAGATATTTTATTTTCGGTTCGTTCAATGACATTGCAATCAAATCACGGTGAGCCAGCATTTGAGAACGTGAGCGATAAAGTTTCAGCTCATATATCTTGAATAAACCTTATTCTCATACAAATGCCTCTGTAGTTAAGATTATCCAGAAAACTTCAAGTTACAGTGAAGAAGTGAGATAATGAAGTCATTTTGCGCTTGTACTATTATAAATGCTATAAAGGAGATAAAAATTGCAAAAGATTTTTCAAGAAAGGAAAACGAATATGTAGATCTTGTGAGATGGGGTTTTTTGATATTCTTTTAGCGCTAACATTTTGTTTTGCATTTTTCGGTCACGGCGAATTATCGTAAGTATCAAGCAGTTTAAGCTTCCTATGATTAAATAGCGTACACATGGTGGCAAAAAAATGACGGGGATCAGAATAAATGACTGCGTAGTTTATTGATTGATATCCCTTTGGATTTGAATGATGTCGAACTAAAGTTTTCCAAGAAAGTCAGCATTGCATACTCTTTAAAATTCCAGAGAAGTAACGATTTAAACACTCTATCAGTAACGAAATATTTTGTTTTTTTTCCAAGATGATTACGAATTCTTGACATGGTGTCGCTAGCATCACTACCTTTTTTTGAGTACAACATGTGTTTATGACTTGCGTGAAAGATACCTTCATCCAGAAATGATAGCGTTCCAATTTAACTTTTTTTTAGCAAAAATTTGAGCTGAAACCATAAAAGCGAGCTAATTTCGATTGAATTTTCAAATTATCACATCGGTTTGTTATGTTGAGAAATAGCTTCAGACCATTGACTTTTTCGTTTCTCTTTTCTTTAGGAGGTACCTTCTAACATATTTATATAGAGATCTCAGAGACATAGGAAGTTATTTGATTTAGTCTGCTTCTATTTGTTTTATGATGATCTCCAGAGGAAACATGAAAGCTTGGGTTCTATAATTCAATAATCCGAATACGATAAAAAGAATGATATTATTTCGAAAGCGGCAAATCGTATTTTTTCATTGAAATCAAAACGAAACGGTAGATTTATTTTCCGTAACAGTCATAGTTGCTTTAAGCTCACTTATAGCTTCTGATCATGTTAAAACTAGGCGTACTATTGCACGAAGAAAAACGCTTGAAATGTTTATGTTCCTAAGATGTCACACTGCGCTGTTCTCGAGTTTGCTGTTTCTACAAACAATAAGAGGGAGTTTTTAAGAGTTAGATGAGAAGAAAGAAGTAGCCAGACAGTATACTAATTGGACAGCGATCTCTCGCTTAGAAGTTGTGCAATTCTTTTCTCGCCAGATAATATGATATCCATATCTTTTCCTATTCATAATTCACGCGATGTTGCATAGCTCCTCAAAAATTAATAGTTGATGACTAGATTCGTACAAAAACATTGAACTGTTAAGAAAGATCAAGTTCGTATTATCCAGAGTCAACACTATCTATCAAGTTGATGAGAGAAACAATTTAATATAGGTCAGTCATTTTTGTCTGGCCTATCACAGAAAAGAAGAAATCCATGCAAATTCTGCTGCTTTGCCTCACAGTTATATCTGCAATATCAACGAAAGGGGCTATCGTATCGTACACGTTGATCATTGATACAATATTTCCGTACTCGACATCGAAAAAACCGATTGTAGCTGTGAACTATAACTTTCCAGGCCCAGTAATTGAAGCGTACGAAAACGATATTCTCTTGATTCGCGTAATCAATAAACTTTCGCAACCATCTACCATTCATTGGCATGGAATTTTTCAAAAGGGTACACCGGACATGGATGGTGTGGTGGGCGCCACGCAATGTGCCATCCCTCCTTCGGGTGAAATGACATACAGATTCAAAGCTCAACCCGCAGGTACTACATGGTATCATGGTCACTATCTGAATCAATATACAGACGGTCTAATTGGTCCATTGATTGTTCGTCGACACATAGAGCCGAATCAAGAACAGTATGATACTGAGCGTATATTGATGGTATCTGATTGGTACAATGATGTTGCGCGAACAAAGTTATTATCTTGGTATCTAAGCGTAAACAATACAGAAGGCATTGAGCCCATACCTGATGCTATTGTCGTAAATGGAAAATTTTCTCAGTCGTTGTTCGTGAAAATGTCCGGGGCAACACGTATTCGTTTTAGAATTATTAATGCTGCAGCATTTTCCATGTATACTGTGTCAATCGATGGATTACCATTACACATTATTGAACTTGATCAAACACCTGTAGTGCCATACACAGTGTCTTCCTTTGTTATCAACGTTGCTCAACGGGTTTCTTTCTATGTGAATCTGAATGAATTTGATCAAACCTATGTACCTTCAGATGTGCCACCGACAAAATCAATTTACATTCGATTCAAAGCTAATTCGGAAATGTATCCAGTTGATATTAGCAGCTATATTGCTCCGTATGCAACTCAATATCTTCCGTATCCGATATTTTTCAATCCATTATACCTAGCTATTTTATCACTCGATTCAAGTAATTCCTTGCCTACATATCCGGTTAATCAAGCAACTTCAGGATCGAGTAATTCAGATTCAGAACACCAACAAGATGTCAATATTCTAAGTGCTCGACCATTCAATCAAGCAAGCAATGTAGTTCCCAATGGAACGCATTACTTGAAACTTGTCATCACATTCCGTTCAGATTCCCGTAACATCATTCGGGGATATCTTAACAATGTTACATATGCTTCTGATGCGAATAATGCTAGGGATAAATCGATTCCTATGCATGCTATGAAATCAGACATCGGAACACCGTTACTATATCAGATGGCTGCGAACCCTAGCGCACTTGGCATTCCATCTCCAATCATCACAAACGACAGTCCATTACCAGCGATACAAAGTGATGGAAATGGACACTACTTAGTACCATATCAAGCTGTCGTTGACATACTTCTGGAGAACACAGATGACGGTGAACATCCATTTCATCTACATGGTCATAACTTTTGGATCATATCAACTTCAGATTATCCTCAAGCCGAACAATTATATAGAGGAGCATACATACAACGAGACGTAGTGAGTGTACCAGCTTTAGGCTGGGCCAAGATACGGTTTTTAGCCAATAACCCAGGTGCTTGGCTCTTCCATTGTCATATTGAGTGGCATATGAATGCAGGACTTATTCTAGCTTTTCTAGTTGGCCCCGATGAATTGCTTGCACAAGGCTACACGATTGCAGCCAATCAAAAGCGCTTTTGCCAATAATACTGATTGTTCCAATAGTCAAAACCGATGCAATTAATGACTACATGAATTGCATCATCTATTCATTGGCTTAGATCTGAGAGGGAAAATGGACTTCAAAACTTCAAGGATAGAGACTTCAAATGTACAGAAAGTGTCAAAAGACTTCAGAAGGCTATTAAAGACTTCAAGAAACTTCTATCACTTTAAGAGACTTCACATACTTCGTGAGACTTCAATATGGTGTGAGCTTGAGCGTGTGTATAGATGGGTGTGGGTTGTAGGGGTGGGATGTGAATGTTAGTTACGAAAAGAGTCACATCTAATATTTCTATGAACTTTTACAACATTTTATGCCTTCTTCTATTTAAAAGCTAGCCAACATCACTGATAAGATATTTCAAAACCAGTGGCACCGTAACTACACTGCTGCATTGTATGGCATCGAAATTTGGTCTCTACGGACAAATTGTGAAGGAAGACTGCATATAAATATAATCCATACTATTATGGACTAACTCAAGACGAAAATAATTCAATGAATAGTTTCAAATAACACGAACATGCTCTGCACAGTCTGTAATTTCAAAGTTTTATCTTTTCTATATATTTATCTTTTTTCGTACATAGAAAATTTTATAGAAGCAGCGCGACTGTTAGTAGATAAAAGCTTGTAGAAAAAATAAATTTCGTTGCTAATGATGTTGAATCAATGGTAGCAAATTGTTTGATCAAATTGAGCGTGCTCTGATCGTCATTGTATACCGAATACCAACCTTGTGGCTCATGAGGTGGGTCTCCAATAAAATCGTCACCTTGAGTCCAGTTGGCGCCTGGTATGCGTGGTCGCCCTTCGCCTCCGTAAGCCCAAAAGTTGATGGGCACATGATATTTGCGAGTATGTTGAAGAATAGCTTCATAGTATTGGTCGCGTACGGTCACAGGTGATGCTGGCGTGTGATCATCATTGTCCCTTTGATAAAGATTTTCATCAAATCACTCTCTAAGATTTTATATAAGATTCTGCACTGAATTGAAGCAAGCAAATATGGCACGGTCGTGTTTTTATTAGGTACAAGCTTTTTCGAACCTATTTGGTGATATTTAGAATTCTAACAGATTTTCACAATTTTGCCCAGAATTTTCCAGATTTTCATTCTTTTAAAGAGAGCTTTGGTTGGTTTTCATTCATACATCTAAAGTTCGTCATGTTTTGTAGTCAAAATACAATAGCACTGTTTTTCGGACACAATAGTACAAACTTTTCTACTGTTTCATTACAATCAATTCACCTCTCCATATTGAAAACAACATTGTTTCAAATTATCTTAGATTAAAAAGACTCGGAGTCTTCGAAATATATTCATCAAGTATTCATATAATGTTGGTTCACAAAGTATACTAAATGTTTTGTCCAAGACAACTACGAAAAGATATGATACTTGTTATCTTTCTTATTTCGAGGAGTGCAACTATGCTTACCTCGCGATGCCAAATTCTTCTAATACCACCGGTTTATCCTTATAAGCGGCGTGAAATTCAATATACTTTTTGGCAAAATCAATAGCAATAGGTAGTGTCGCAGAAGCGTTGCGTGGGTCGAACACATTCCAATTTTGTACCCATAGATGAAAGGTGGCATAGTCAATGCATGGACTTGCATGATCGTTGGAGAAATTATTCGATGAAATGTTACCCTCGACACCCGTGGTTACCAGTTGGAAAGGAGCAAGTTTTTTGAGTAAGCAAGCCGTTCGATGTACCCATGAAAGATCCATGCGACGAGGCTCGTTAGCAAGTTCCCATGACATCTTCAAAAGATCACAACCAGATTGTTATTCACAATGTAGATATACATTTAGTATAGCTTTTAAAAACAGGGATGGCACACTTACTCTAATTTGTGGTCGACCAAATGCAGTAAAGTAAACAAAATACTTACTTATTTACTCGTAAATGTCGAATATTGTTTTTACTAGTTACCAGTAAATATTAGAAGTACTGCGTTTACTTATTTACGTACTTCTTTACTAATAAAGTAATGATAAAGTGCTATCACTATCTAAAAATCCTTATTGAGTGTGTTACATGAACTCGAGTTGGAATTAGATATATTATTTTAGCTGAGTAACATGGAAGCATGGTAAGATATATATTGCAATTTCTAAAACACATAGATGTCATTTTTCAAACGTAGAATACGCTTGAACTTTGGAAGATAAAGGTGATCGCAACAGTGAAGCTCATCAAAATGGAACGTGCAGATAAAAGTGACGGAAATGTCATAGTAGACAATCTTAATGAATTACTCATGGACTGAGCTGACACTGGCTTCAACATGAGAAATTTTTTTAGAAAGATTTCGAATATACTGTTATTCTCCATAAAGACTTTTTTGTAGTCTATACAAAAAAAAATGAATCACATATCAAATGTAAAAAGCGCGATGCAAAATTATCCTTTTTACTTAGAGACTGAACTTAATATATCTAAAATCAAATTTTACATAAAAATCCCAAGAGTTGGTAATGGACTTTTCCTCAAAAGTGTATTATTTTGTACAATAAAACTTCGCAACTAGATTTAACAGACCGCTATTATCACATAAAAAATGTAAGTATATCCGATGACGCAGAATACAGAATACATTAGACTTTTCGTATTTATAACGTAGATGTGTGTGTGTGTCAGAATGAGAGTGAGCCCATTCGGGTATGCTCGAAAAAATGGCCCAAGCTTACAAGCACATCCATATTCCATAACTGAAAGCGCTTGCTCGAGATAGAGTTGTCAAAATTTGCTTTTACTTTCTGATTCTGGGCGAATGATAGATAGGCACCGACAAAAGCAACTAAACGCAAATTTTTTTTCTGAGTTGTTCTTTTATCTGACTTACAATAGTTGTATCGTTTGTATAGGGTACATTCGTATATCGATTTGTACGCGCTAATAAAAATCGAATATGGTTATCAAACAGTTCCGTAGCTTCAGTTAGGCTGTAGAATTGTGCTGAAAATACTTCAAATTGTTCGTAACTACCCGGATAGGGTATGGTTATTGCCGTTCCATTAGCCCATGCTACATATTGGGCAAAGCCACCTGACCATTGCCAGAAAGTAAAAGCAAATTTTGACAACTCTATCTCGAGCAAGCGCTTTCAGTTATGGAATATGGATGTGCTTGTAAGCTTGGGCCATTTTTTCGAGCATACCCGAATGGGCTCACTCTCATTCTGACACACACACACATCTACGTTATAAATACGAAAAGTCTNATTTCATCCAGAAGAAAATCGAGCCCGTCGAGTACATCAACATTGTACATTCCGGGAGAAGGCTGCATAGATGGAACAATACGCCACGGTTCTGTGTCAGGTCCTTCGCTGCCTGCTTGCACACGTAGATTATTCACACCGAGTGCATGTAAATGATCGAGTTCACGCACTAGACGCACACGATTGCCTCCAGTGCCATTTGATCCCAAATTGGCACCATACCAAAAATTGGTGCCCACAAACATATAATCATGATTATCCAAAGACAAGCGTCTGTTTTGTACTTTAACAAACGACGACGATTCAACTACTATCACAAGAAGAGTCGAAAGAAGAAGACAGCATGCAGTTGGTAACATTTTGTCACAAAAAACTGTGGATCACGTTGAGTATACGATACTACACGCTTCATCAAAAGAATCATTAAAATGTGTCAATATTTGTAATGAGATATAAGATAGTAAAACTTTGCATGTAAAGAGATACACGTCATCAAAAAAAAGGTGGATTCTTTTCGTATCTTTTACAACGATGCAATAAATTTGGTTTTATTACAGTCAATGGGATTCATTGAATATACTTTGTACGATTGTTCACACATAAGGTTTTAGAAGTTTTAAAGAGAAACAGATTATGAGTACATTACCACAGTAAATGATGTGAAGCCTTCGACATATTAGAAAACCTTCCTCCTCATATAAATGAAGCAGAAGATATCGTAGGAGATCTCTCCCGATTGAGAATCAATTTAAAAAACAATTTCCGTACCTTATTGCTTTTTCCAGTGTTTATGTCTCTAATTATATCTGCATTCAGTAAGGATAATATTTTGTTTCAATCATCATAGCGACATATCAGTTTCGCATTAGAGAAAGCTTAAAGAATAGCTAACACGAATGAAAAGTGTATTGAAAAATGTTTTTCTTTATTGAAAACATATTGTGGAATCTCTTCAGTGTTCTGCTGTTTTACAATATAATCCAAGAAAGCATTCTTTAGGTTCTCTATACGAAAAAACTGTTTTCACGACTACAGGATCTCAGTGGCGCAATGCACCTTCCCACGGGTTACATATGAAGAGATCTTTGTAACATAATAACATATTCAGTAAAATCCTGTTGTGCATTAATTCAAAGGTCTCTTTGCATTTGCACTTTCTACTGTAAATTCCGAAACGTTTTTTATCACAAAGCAATGCATTCATAATTGAATAAAATCTATCATCAGATATACACGTCGAGATTTGCTCTATGAAGTATTCATTCTGAGTATGAGAATGTAATTTTTTCGCAATAAGATCTATTGCTACGTCCCGTAACGCACACAAAAAAACAGTAAATGCGTACTCAACTGCTATTTTTCTTTAAACTGTCTTTGCGTAAACAACTATACTCATTGAAGTTACTCTGGAACTAATAATTATACTAGTGATACATTTCACTGAACACGAATTCAATTCAAACTATTGAAACCTCTACATAAGCAACTGACTTGAATAGATTTGATCAAACCAATTTGAGTTTCTTGTTCTCGGTGATTTTCTCTATTTTGGTCACAGGATATTATCTGTTTCTTTTCCATTCTACCCGTGTAGGATAAGAGAGAAGAAACTTATTTACTAACCATGTATTGAGCGATAATAAAGTGAAACTAAGAACTGTTGGGGAACTACCGAACGATATGACTTTTTTAGAGAACTTAATAAAAGATGCCCTTGTAACTTATGAACGACAAGACAAAATAGAAG